AATCAGCTCACGCGCGAACTCCGCGGCCGAGAACGGCTGGCCGCGCTGGTCCAGGAACCGCCCCACGGGCAGCCTCCTCGCCATCGCCCCGACGCAGCAGGCGTCCGCCCAGCTGCCCGATGAGCGCCGACGCCAGGTGCCCCGCGACCACGCCCGCCCAGGTAGGGCCCGACTCCGCCTCCGCGGGGCAGGCCTCACACGGGGCGCAGGGGCCCTCTGCCGCCAGCGGCGGCGGGCACTCGGCCACCGCCTGAGCGCTCGCCGAGAGGTTCTCGGCGACCTCCTGCAGGCGCTCGAGCACCTGCGCGCGGCCGAGCTGCTCGCCGACCTCGCGGCTCCGCTGCTCCAGCGACGCGAGCAGCCACAGCACGACCAGGGCGGCGCGCATCGCAAACCTCTGATGAAGAAAGCGAGGCTTGAGCACAAACGGTTGCGCATACAGCGTTGCAAGAAGACTGGCAAGCTGAGACGGTTTCCGTTTAGGTGGACATGGAGGGGTATTCAGGGCCCGACACTCGAAAAGCCTCAGCACGTCATTATCGTGCTACGCACACCCATTCTGGACGTGCGGGAGAAGGGAGTTCTGCCCTCATCCTCGATCTCTGCGGGAAACCAGAAGACCTACGCAGCGGAGCTACCGGACTCCGAAGAGGTCCACCCGGCGCCTCCATCTCTCTGGGACGGAGCAGCTACGCACTACGATGACATCGATGACTCGTTCGAGCTGCCCGAGGAGGACGCGTTGATCTTTCTCGAAGCGCTGGACACTCAGGAATTGGACGAGAAAGACCTTATGCTGGTGCTGGCGGCGGTCATAGAAGAAAAGTGGGGAAAAGAGAAGAGACGTACCTGGGCCGAGGCCCGAAAGATGAAGGCGAGTCGTCGAGTGGATCGTGACTTCTTCGACCGTCAACGACCTTCTCACCCACGTTTACGTCGTATTACGTCCGCCGAGCTGAAGAAGAAGACGAGGTGCGCCAACTGTGGTGAAATGGGGCACTGGGCAGAGAACTGCAAGAAACCGTACCGATCCAAGCGGGACAGACTCAATGAGGAGAAGGGCTCTACTGTGGCCCCGAAGGGTTCGAGTTCGACGCACTGGGCAGGGTTCTCGCTGCCCAACAGCATGGACCAACCATCCTGTGGGGCCGTTCTTCGAGGCGCGGCCGACGAGTACGATTTCGAGACCTCGTGGGCGTCCTTCCCACTCGAGTTCTGGACGGGGATCGTGAGGAGCGGACTCGACGCTACGGCGATCACCCTGAAGAACATGCGGGACCACGCCTTGGTAGATACCGCAGCGGGCCAGGCACTCATCGGCCGCCCTGACGTACTGATACTGAAGAAGGCTATGCGGAGCAAGGGATTTCACGTTCACATCGATTGGACCCCGCTGGAGGGCAAGGCCGCCTCTGGGATAGGAGGTCGAACGACCCCGATCGGTCGCTGCTGGGTATCGTGCTCTCTGGCTGGCTGCGGGTACATCGAGTTCTACGTTCTGGAGCAGCAGTGCCCTCCCCTGCTCCCAGCGCGGCTCCTGGAGATGATCTGCACCAGCATAGATTTGCAAGACAATCGCATGACTGTAAACGACGACGGTAACCTGGTGGATCGCGCCCTCTTGAGGCATCCGTCAGGTCACAAATCCGTCTCCCTGGTCCACCGCAGCCCGGAGCGGTTCCAGGTCTCCGACTCGGTGAAGGCCGGGCTTCCGAAGGAGTGCTTCGACGTGCCGAGCTTCAGCGACTCGGCCAAGGACAGCGGGGACAGTGAGGGGGCGGGCCGCAGTTTTGTCGCTCAGTTCCCTCTCCCCCACTTTGGCCTCTTGGGGAGATCTCCGGGCTCCGAGGATTCTCAGATGAGGGTGTTCGAGGAAAGTGGGGGCAGCGGGTCCGTAGCCAGTTTCTCTCGAGAAGGTTTCCATCACCAATCTGAGGGACCCAGCTGGGTCGATGAGCTCCAAGCGGCCAGGAGTCATGATGACGAAGAAGAGAACCCTCATGCGAGCCCGATCTCGGTCTCTCGCCGCGACGGTGCAGTCGGACCCCGAGATGGAGAACGACCACTCCAGGGAGACCTTGTCCGAGGTTCGGAAAATGCTCGCTCAGGAGGCCCTGTCCGAGCAGGAGATCGCGGACTTCCTGGAGGGCAAGATGAGGCTCCCTCCCGTACGCCATCGTTGGCGCCACCTGGTGCTGAAAGTCGTGAATATCGAGCTGGTCACCCGGGCCAAGCAGCAGGTGGTTTTGCAGACGCCGTCAAGCTTCACAGAGTCCCTCCCGAAGTCAGAGTGCCCTCACCCACCTTGGGCGACGAGGCACGGCTCCAACACGACCCATGTCTACGCCCACTGCACGCAGCGCTCGGATCGTCTGTTCATGAGGAACCAGACCGCTCACGAGATCTTCGAGGCCCAGAAGAAGAAGGAGGATCGCGAGTCGGCCAAGCGAGATCGTCAGGGGCAGAAGGAGCTCGCCAAGAAGATGATGATGGAATGCGGGGTGGACTTCCAGAAGTCTCAGGACGAGCAGATGTGGAAGAGTGTGCGGGACTTCATTCAGCAGGGCATCTACATGAACCACAACGTTCAGCAGAGGTCGTCGCAGCCCAGTCTCAGCGAGACCGACATGCAGCGATTGGCGGCGATGATCGTGACCAGCCTGAAGGTATCGACCAGCAGCTCGAGCTAAAGGAGAATTCGAATGGCTCCAGCATGCGCGTAGGCGACGCGCTGACCTTCGAGCAGATCGAAGCTCTGAGGAGGCCAGGTGAGGAGACCCGAATTTCTTCTCATCTCTTCTTTCGTGACTCCAGGGTTTATCACGTCCGGGAAGCCTCCAGAAACACCTTCGGGAAAAGCAAGGTTCGGGCGATCTGGGACTCCAGGTCGGGACGGCTTCTTGACTCCTCTCTCCTGGCTGAAAGCACCTTCTGGACGCTTTCCGAGATGACGAGGCCCGAGTCTACGTTGTTCTGTGTGGCGCTGGCGATAAAACAAGCCGGGGGAAAGCCCCTCCGATCTCTTTTTCCCCCGGGGGCTCGTTGGATCGAAATCAAATCGAAAGACGACCGAGTCTTCTGGAGCGCTCCTTGGGCGGGTTCCATCCCCTCTGATTTGGTGACAGCCCTCCAGCGGGCGCGCGGGTCTCGAGCCTCCCATGGTTTGGGGGATCCTAAGGTCAGTGTGTGGTATGAAGCAACTAAGGCTGAGGACGGGGGAAGAGGAAGCCGTGAAGAGAGGAGCGAGGGAAGCAAAGAAGGTGGAGGAGAAGAGGAGGTCGGCGCCTCGGAGCATCCCCTTAAGTATGTCATCAAGGACCGCTTCGCGGCAGCAGCCCTAGACAGCGGTCCCTACGACCCAGGCCCGGGACCCAGCGTCTCCTATAAGGTTCGGGAAACCACTCATCGAGTCCTGAAGGTTCGCGCCTCAGATCGGGCCGCCGACTAAGGCGTCGAGAACTTCAGCGATCGGAACGACTCCGAGGTGGTACTACGGTCATGGAATTTTTGTTCCCCCCCCCCGCGTCTCGGATCGCATGCCTAGGCTGGGCTATCGGGTGTCTCCCGCGTTTGACGTGCTAGTCGGCAAGGATCTTAGCTTACCGTCCGTCCGAAGTGATCTCTGGAAGCAGATAGCGAGGGACCAACCTCTGGTTGTGATCATGAGCCCGGTGTGTAAGGCATTTAGTATTGCGAGAGTTCCCTTTTGGCGCACGATGGATCAGGATAAGCTGGTTTCGGAAGAGCAGCGGGGTTGGAATACCTGAAGCTATGCGAGCTCATTGCCCGTCATCAGCTGTCCGAGGGTCGTTATTTTCTGTTCAAACAACCGGAAAGGGCCAGTTCGCTCGAGCTGGACGGGACCCGGGACCTTCTGGAAACTCCCGGGGTTCGGTCGGCTGTCACAGACCAGTGCGAATTTGGGCTCTCGGTTTCCCCCAAGGGCGAGCTGTCTCGGAAGAGGACAGTGCTGACTTCGAACTCCCAATCTCTCCTGTCCCCCTGTGTTCGATCCTGCTCTCGCTCCCACTCCCGTCTTCCCTTGGCGGGGGGCCACAGGACATCTCGAGCTGAACGGTATCATCCACAGCTGATCGAGGCTATGGTGGCCGGCACTGAGAATGCGGCCTGGCTGTATCATCACGTGGCGCTTTGCCACCTCCCAGACAGCGATTCCGAGTTCGACCCCCCCTCCTTTCCCGCGGACCTGGAACCCGAGGATCTCGAGGAGGACTCGGACGAGGACGTCCCTGAGACGATCGCTCCGAAGACTCGTCGGCCCCGGGGGGTTCCTGTCTCGGAGAAGGCTTCTCGTGAGATCGAGCTCGACATCGCCCTCCAGAGGGAAGTGGAACTGCTGCACGTGAATCTCGGCCATCCGAGTCGCAGTGACTTCCTCCGCACCCTCCGAGTGGCTCGCGCTCGAGAGGACGTACTGACCTGGGTCAGAGATCATTTCCGGTGCTCAGCTTGCGAGAGCCATGCTAAACCGTCGTGGAGAAGGCATGCCCACCTGCCCAGGACCTATGAATTCAATCGAATCGTCGCCGTCGATCTCTTTTATGTCGAAGTTAACGGAACCAGCACCCCTGTGCTTAACATGATAGATCACGGTAGCTCGTTTCAGCAAGCCTGCCTTCTTCCCAACGACACCGCTAAGGCCACCTGGAAGGCCTTCATGCAGTGGTGGGTGCGCCCGTTCGGGCTTCCCGAGATTGTGGTATGTGACGGGGGGGGGGGGGGAGTTTGAGAGAGAAGTTGGGAGAGGATGCGAGCACAGCAGGATCTTCTTGCAGGTCGTCCCCGCGAATTCTCCCCACTGGAACGGAAGTGCGAGCGCCATGGCGGTATTTTGAAAGACGTCATGTCTAAGGCCTCTCATGTTTCCGCTGAGGAGGTGGAGCTTATCATATGTGAGTGTGTGGCGGCCAAGAACAGGACGTTCCACCGAGGAGGGTACAGCCCCACGCAGTTGGTTTTCGGATGCAACCCCCGAGTGCCTCGCTCCCTTTTAAGCGATGACCCCCTTGATCTAGTGGGATGCGAGGACGTCCTTCGCGAGGGTCCTGACGCTGACTCGGCCGCGGCCGAATTTTCCAGGCGTCACAGGATTCGCGAGGAAGCTCGCAAGGCACTGGCCAGTACGGAGGCCAGGTCCCGACTCTCCGAGGCTGCCCGAGCCCGGAGACACAGCGATCGTCACTTTAAACCTGGGGAGTGGGTGTATGTGTGGAGAAGGGTTATCGGGTCCAACCGGAACCATTCCCTCCAACGGGACCGTTGGACAGGACCTGGGATCGTCGTCCACCAGACCGGAAGCACCGTGTGGGTCGCCATGAGGACGCGACTCTTGAAATGTTCTGAAGAACAAGTCAGGCCCGCGACGCGACAGGAGTCTCTTGGGGCCGAGTTACTGGATCACGAGAGATTTGATGCCTTGAGAGAGCAGATAAGGTCCCCCGGGAAACGTGTTGGAGCCGTGGATGTGACCTCTGAGGGGCCTCCTCCTCCTGAGGCCTGGGACGGGCCTGAGCGGGAAAGGCCGGACCCAGGAGAGCCCAGACACCGGAGTCTGGACTCCGAGAACAATTCCACGGGAGAGCCGCCCTAAGGGTCTCTTCCTCGTCCCCCCCCCGAGTCAGTCCCTCCTACCGCTCCCCCTTCTCAGGCTCCGCCCTCGTCTGGTTCCGCGACCGGAGCCTCGGAAGCTAGAGGATCGGTGGTCTCGGCCTCGGATGCAGCTTTGCCGGAATCTAAATCCAGCGCGGTCGAGCCCGACCAGAGACCTATGACGGACCTAGGCCAGATGGTTCGCCGAGCCGAGCCTGACTCTGCTCGAGATGTACGTCCTCGTTTGACCCCAGCTGAGGAGCTGGAACCGAACGGCCGCGTCGCTCAGATGATACAGGAAAGAGAAGTGCCCCCTGGACCCGTTCTTCCTATTCCGGGAACTCGACCCCTGGGGGTCAGGGATCTCTCTCTCTTCCGAGGGCCCGCCGTGCGGTGTCAGAGCCCTACCCGATTCCCCCCCGAGTGAGAATCGAACCCCCCTTTGAGTCATCGCCTCCGGGCCCTACTATGGAGCCTCCAGAGGCTCCCGACGAGCAAGAAGCGAGCCTACTTGCCGAGCTGGAGGCTTGGTTTCCTGATATTAGTGCGCCTGACTGCTTAGGTCTTTGCTACTATGCGGCTGAGCACTTCACCGGCGTGACTGATACTGCGGCTCCGGCGAAGCCTCGCGGAGCCGAAGTAGTGTGGAAGAACATGAATCCCCAGGAACGTCAAAGGTTTTACGAGTCCGATGCGGCCGAGTGGGAAGCCATCGTGAGGTCCGGTGCCGTCCGTGTGCTTTCTCCCGAGGAATCCAGGTTGGCTCGCCGCAGGTTTCCGGATCGTATTCTTTCTTCCAGGATGGTTCGTCGTCTGAAACCACAGGAAGGAGTGGGAGCTCCCCCGAAGGCGAAGAGCAGGTGGTGCGTTCACGGTCACCAAGACCCGGATTCCGAGTCATTGTCTGTTTATGCCCCCACCCCCCAGTCTGAGTCAATAAAGATTGCGTCTATGAAGTGGCGGCTACAGGTGGCCGATGCTAAAAACGCCTTCTGTCAAAGTAACAAGTTGCAGAGGCCCAACGGGGCCATTTTTGTAGAACCATGTCATGGCCTCGAGCTCGAGAGCTCGGAGTTGATAGAGTTCGTTGCCCCGGCTTATGGGCTTAATGACGCTCCGATTTTGTGGCACCGAACTCTAACGAACTGGCTGGCGACTCAGGGCTTCATCAAGAGCCTGCTCGAGCCTTGCCTCTGGCTTAGGCGCGACTCTCTCGGTAAGTTAAGAGCTCTGACCCTGATAGAGGTTGATGACCTGATCATCGCCGGAGAAGATAAGGAGGTTGCTGGTCTCAAGAAATCAATGTGTCAGCGTTTCGAGTTTGGTAAGTGGAAAGAGCTCGAGTCCGAGTATGCGGACAGGCGTCTGATCCAGCTAGGCGATCGTATCACAGTGGATCAGGAAAAGTACATTCGTGAGCAGCTTAGTAACGTGCATCTCGATCGCTCACGCCGCAGTGAGCCTGAATCTTTGTTGACGTTTGAAGAGATAGCGGCTTACAGAACTGTAGTCGCTCAAGTGCAGTGGCTTGCCAGGGAAAGTCGGCCAGATGTCGCCGGCAGTGCTTCTCTTTTGGCTGCCGCTCTCCCCGCTCCCAGAGTGTCGGATGCGATGATTATGTCGCGTGTCTGTAAGTATCTCAAAGGCTCGTGTGAACAGAAGATCACGATCTGGGCTCTCGACCCCCTTTCCGTGTGTTTCGCCACCGCGAGTGACTCGGGTGGTCCGGGGACCGCGCGGAGAGGCGGCGCACAGGCCAGCTGGCTGGTCATGGCCGCCGACGGATCGATCAGTGAGAATCGCCGAGCCAAAGCGAGCGTACTCTCCTGGAGATCTCAACGTATTAAGAGAGCGGTCGCCAGTACAGTGGCGGCGGAGACCCTGGCGCTCTCGGCCGCAACGGCCGAAGCTCAATGGGTGCAAGTTTTGTGGCGCGATTCTGTCTTCGGTGATGTCCCTCGCCCTGATTGGTTCTCGGGACAGACGCCGTTCTCGATGGTGCTCTCTCGAGACTGCCAGCTGTGCGAGGCGGCCGCGGGCCTGGCAGTCGTGGATGCCAAGACTGTGTTTGACACCCTATCCCGCAACTCTGCAGGATCTAAGGCAGATCGTCGCAATGCCATCGAGCTGGCAGTAATCAGAGAGACTCACTATCCTCGGTCGGCTCCCAGGTGCGCTGGATGCCTCACGGGAAGATGCCCGCCGATCCACTTACGAAGACAGAGCCATCGAAGGGAAATCTAGCATTGCACGATCTCCTCTGTAGGGGGACTCTCTCCCTAATCGACGAAGGTGGTCATCTTGACGAGTTAACATTCGCTTAAAAAGCCGTTCCCGAGGTGCTTCCCGAAGGTTACTAGAAGAAACAGCTAAGGTGGAAGGTAGAGCCAGGGCCTCTCCAGAGGAAAGAAGTGAGGAGGAGGAAGGAGAGTTGGGGGAGGACCCGAGGAGGACAGAGGAGAGAAGGGTGACGGAGGAAGCTGGAGGAAGCTGTCCCGGAGCGAGGAGGCAGAAGAAGGAAGAGCCCACCTACGTGAAGATCGAAGCTGGCGCGGGCTTAGGTCCACGAAAGTCGGGCCCGCTGTCCCCGAATTTCTTCGGAGGTCCCGTCCAGGAGTTCTCGAGGCCCCTCGATCCCTCCTGAGGTCTCTCTCTCTCTCCCTCTTCGTCCCTGCGCCCGTGCCACCCGCCCTCGCTCGCCCCGGCAGAGGGGAGCAGTACTGCAGCCCATTTTGGGCTCGATGATGTAGTTCGCACGAGAGAAACTGTTCCTCCCTCTCGCCCTTTCATGATCCTAGCCCATCGTGTTCTTGCTTGAGAGACAAAACAGTCCCTCTGATGGCCCAAGAGGCCCCAAAGACACCCCAAGAGGGCTCCAAGAGGGCCTCCAGGAGGCCAAAATCATCGATAATCTCAACATTTTGGACGAATTAAACGTTCTCGCCTTTGCGGGCTTCCGACGCTCCAAGACGGCCCCATAGGCCCCCAAGACGTCCCCAAGAGGCCCGCAAGAGTCCCCCAAGAGGCCTCCAAGAAGCACCCAAGGTGTCCCCAAGACGGCACCAAGAAGAACCCCAAAGACCTCCAAGACGGCCGTTAAGCGCCCAAAGAAGGACCCAATGGCTTGGCCAGACGTCGGCCCAACGTTTGGCCGCTTGGGCGTTTCCAAAGGCACGGGGCGGCTTCGCCGTAGGCGTCCTCGATTACTTCACAGGTCGGACGGATGCGGTGTCCACCGCATGATACGACTTGAAACAGATCGTGCCAAGGCTGGATGGGGCGGATCACATCAAATGTTATTACACAAGTGATTGGGACTAACGTGGGGTCCATAAAACATAGCTGTAGAAGAACATGCCGGAGCCCCATCGGGTTCAGCTTGGCCATGGGAGACAGCAAGTATCTTCAAGCATTAAGGTTACACAGTGCTATCTGCAGTACTCCAAATGCTGCTGGGGCTCTTCTGCCTCCAAGGATGTTCCTCTAGCCATCTGCCACGACAATCGACTGCCAACTACGACTGAGGCAACCTCACCTCCCCAATGCGCAGTGTCCTCGCATACAGTGCGTGCAATCCCCATGCAATGCAGTCATGCATCCAGGATCTTGACTGCTGTGCATGACCATCGTCCTTCATAAATCGAGCACCCCTGCTCGGCTGTACAAGGTCGGCAATGCAGAACGCAAGAAGATTGCAGGAATCAATCGGCCAATCCCCGCTCCTTCGACACGCTCGTCAAAGGGAACTCGACAATATGGCCATTGCTCTGGTCCATCTTCAGAGTCCTCGCGACTCACAGAGGCATGAGGGAAGCCGAAAGCGCGGACTGGCTCACGAAGAAAAATAATGGCATGGATTCGGCAACACATCACCAAAAGATCAGCAATAGGCCCTCGATACCGAAGCCACACGTTCCCGGGCGGGAAAGGCGGACCAGGATCTGACTGGCGATGCCCCTCTGGGCCCGTCCCCCTCTGTCACTGCCCCTGCAGTCCTCGCGACTCACAGCCAGCTCTAAACATGACTAGCGATCGGTACGGCAAGTTTGTGTCGTATCGAGTTGCGCGTTGCTTTCCGACCCCACGCGAATCATGCAACCTTGAGCGATCACGCGTTTCCAATAGCGCAGATCGGTCGATCTGGTAGCCGACTCTGGACCACCAGCGGCGTTCAACCTTGAGCGCCCGTGCTGGGGTATCCGCCGCGTCGACACGACACGAACATACCGCAAAATGCCCCCCATGACCACATCCACATCCGCATCCGCATGACCACTATCTACATCATGATCTGTATTGGTCAGGTCGATTTGGGCGCCAACCAGCTGCACTGATGCTAAGATGAATTTCCCCTGGCCCGGCGGGGACACGCTTGATCATTGCACGCGCTGGTCGCACAAGTTTCTGCACGCTTGTTGCAAATCCGACTTGGTTGTCGTTGGTCATCCTGCTCCCTCGCCGTGTCCAATCCTAATCCTCCTCCTGCTCCTCCTCACCCTCACCCTCCTTTTGTTGTTCCATTTCCTTCTCATCCGCCTCCTCCACGTCAAAAAAAGGTATTGCACGGGAATGACGAGATGTCTTTAACCGTGGGCAAGAGTGGCGGTAGCTCCACCGATCAGACAATTGAGCCAAACGGCGTCGGGAACGACGGCCGCTCGACGCACACACGCAAGTAATGATCAAGTAGCTTCTCACCTAGTCGTAATCCCATATTCTAACACCCCCCTCGGCTGGTAAGCCTGATGTATAGACGGGGGGATGCACGCTGCAAAAAGATCCGCCGACCCTGTCGGCGTGTGCGAGGGGCTTCCTCGTCCGAATGGTCTTCGTTGTTCGGATTGACATCGTTGTGTTTTAGTTGTTCGGATCGTCATCGTTGTCGATTCGACATGAAGTGAACGGCATCATTTCCTCGCCGCCCCCCCTTCTTCCTTCCCCGTTTTTTCTTCTTGGGCCGTACCCTCCTGCCGTCATGCCGTTGTAGATTCGAAGGAGAGCCCCTTCCCTTTGATCCCTTCCCCAGGGGAGGGGGGGGGTCCCGGGGGGGGTCCCGGGGAGGGTCCCGGGGGGGGGGTCCGGGGGGGGTGGGGGGGGGGGGCAGATTCGTTTTTCCTCGGGCTGCCTCGAAACCTCGAAAACACTCCAAATGAGGTCCGAATGCCCAATAACAGGATTCCCCATATCTTCCCATATTTTCTGGGCAGTCGTCTTCCCCCCCACTTCCCATACTTTTCCATATTTTCTGGGGCATCGATGATTCATTGTGTCTGTGTCTTTTTCTCTCCTGATCCTCCTCCTGCTCGTATTCGTCGTCGTCGTCGTCGTCGTCGTCGTCGTCGTCTTCAGGGTCGGCGGCACCGGCCGTAAGGCCTTAGCAATACTAAATGAAAATGGGCATCGGATGCATAGCCTCTTTGCCGTAATGGCATCTCTTCGTCAAGTCTCTAACCTAACGGGGTAAAAAGCGTAAGTTGGCATTGGTGCGAGCATACTTAACAGCACAAGCACATTTTTTTATTTGGCAAAAAAAGCACAATGCGGTTTCGCTTTGGGCGTAAACCTGCAAGGGCCTCCGAACATGTGATACTCGACGTTCCCAAAACAATGTTTGCACTTACTATGCTCATTGGAAAAGGAACCCATCAACAAAAAACTGCATGGACAACCCTCCAGACAACCCGGACAACCCATCATGATGAATGACGACAAGACGACCTACCTGAGAAAACCCCTTGGACAACCCAGCGGGGATCCGGACAAACCCACTGACGACCTAACTGGACAATCCCGCTTGGGCAAGATTCCCTGAAAAGATTTCTCTTCCACACGACTAATCGGACTTGTTGCTTCCCTTTTGGAAGAATTGCCCTGGATGTTAGTCTAGCGGTTCCGTGCTCGGCGTCGCCGACACGTCGTCGCCTCGACGCAGCCCGCAGTCGGGGCCTGATTGTCGGTCTGGCGGTTCTGTGTTCGCCGTCGCCACCCCGTCGCCGCCCCGTCGCCGCCAATCGTTTGGAACTGGTTGCCGGTCTGGCGGCTATGTCATCGCCGTCGCCGCTTCGTCGCCGCAAAACTGCGCAACGCCCCCCCATAAAAATTGCTGGTTTAACACGTGGTGTTCTCGAAAAAATGTCGCAGCTGATTACGCACACTTGTCAAAGAGGAATATGAATTCGTATAATCCCAAGCAACCCCGCCCTCATCCTTTACAGACAACACTATGCGCGCACGGTCGTCTGTCTGAAATCATCAATTTCTAGAATCCCGTGCAAAAAAAGGACGCAGTGCACACGCGCGCGTCGTCACGCGCATACCGATACACCAAACACAAAAATCGTACGGATTTCAGCATCGAGTGTCCCGACCACGCAAAAAACGTGGTTTGGACAAGGAAACAATCGGTCACTCAATATGTTCATCAAGTGCGACCAAACCAGCTTTTCGCGGGCGCATATTGCACTCACAATCGTTGCTGAAGACCCTCAACTCCAGGAACCCATTGCAATCCAAACAGTCATCGCGAGCATCTGGCATTTTTCAAAACATCACAATACGAATGGATATCAACATCGGCTACTCCGAAAACGCATACACATACGAACTTATGGCGGTTCAACATGCTTTGTAAACAAAGAAGCACGCGTGCGCGCTCTCTCAGAATCTAAAGAAAGTGAAGAGTTCCTCAACATGTTCACCAAGTTCGACCACACGGGCCTCGCGCGCGCATGTCGAAATCATTCGAGCGCCTTTGCGCGCGATTGGGGGGAGGGCACGTCCCCTGTCAAAAAGTACCGTACAATGCGGGCCACTCTCGCCAGCCAGCCGCGCGCGCATGTCGAAATCATACCAAAACCCTTCATCGCCGACGCGAGGGTACTATCATCGTCATTTGCGCGATCAGCATCGGCGCTGTCGTCGTCCTCGACGTCGTCATTGTCATGGTCGTCACCAGCACGCTACTATCATCATCGCGTCTGCCGCTATCGCCGTCGCCAAGATACCCCGCCCGCCCGAGTCACCGACTCGGACAGATGCGCCCGCGCACAAGCGCGGCCTGCAAGACGCGCTGGGAAGCCCCCAGCGATCAGCGCCGCCGCGGCCGCGCCCGTCGCGCCAGACACTTGCGCTTCGGCGCACTTCTGCACCCAACTCCCCTCTTCCCCCGCGCCGTCGCTGACCCCGGCGCTCCAAAAATTGCAGCGAAAACACTTGTCGTGGCAAACTTCCCCATTGCGCTGCGCCGCTGGGCCCGCTCCCAAGCATCGGCTGACCTCGCCGTGGTGGGCGCCTTCATCGGCGCAGTCGGAGGCGAGGCGACCCATCCGGCAACGAAGGCAATTCCGCGGTTGCACCACCACCCCTGCCCCTCACCTACGTCGCGGGCCCTGCGCCCCTGACGTTATCCTTCCAACATACTGGCCCAAGAGCACGCGCGCGTCTTACCGCTCGCCCCCTGGCCCTTTCTCGCAGCTCGCGGCCACGCGACCGAGCCGCCGCGCATGCGGCGCTTCAAATATTTTGCCACCTGACCCTCTCCGCTCGTGGACTGCGTCTGCCACCCATTCCTCATATCACGCACCCCCCTCGAGTCGGGCCACCATCAGCCTTCGCAGTCGACGAAGCCCGACGCATTCCATCCTTCAGCGGCACCCAAAAAACTGCTGGATTCGCCAACTCCACTGACACGTGCCGCATTTTCGCACGTCATGCCCCCATGTTCGCATGAGACGCAAGGCGTTGCATGATTTTCGTTGGTTGGCGAATCTGGCGCTTTCACATAGCCCCGGCGACCGTTCTTGAACCGGTCACCTGCGCGCGACATCATCGCGCGCAGCGCAGTGACGCGGACGAGGAGCCTCAACGAATACGCTGGCCCATGCCTTTTCCAGCGCCTCGACTATCGCAGGCCATTGTTATTCTAGCTGGGCAGCATCATCGCCGCGACTCTTAAGCTCGTCTGGGCTCGTGGCCAAGACATATGCACATACGAACCTAGACCTAGACAAAATATTGTTGGCCCGCTTCGCTTCGCCACAACATCTCGCCACTCATCCTCATCGTCGGCGCAGGGGCGCGGACCTGGCACCCCCCGCGCAACGCGGGCGACAGTTCGCGGCGCGCTCGTGAACTTCATTGCTGGAAAGGCGCACATTCGATGTGCGTCGCGAGCTTGACGGCTTTGGAGGGGGTACGAGATGTTGCGTTCCCAGGATTGATCACGGAAGGCAATCGGGTTGATGGTCGTGCTCGCGGTCGCGCTGGCGCTCGCGTTGGACATCGCGCCATCGGATGCGCCGGTGGCCGCGCTGCTAGTCACGGTGGCGGTCGCGCTGGTGATGGTGCTGGTGGGCGGTCGCGCGGGTGGTCGCGCTGGCGGTTGTGCTCGTGGTCGCAGCGGTGGTCGCGCTGACGGTTGGTCGCGCCTGCGGTCGGGCCGGCGGTCGCACTTCCTTCCTTTTTGCCGTCGACCGGACAGCGCGCCCGGGGGTGGGGGAAGCGAAGGGGGAGGGGGTCCACGTCGACGGCCGCTTTCCTGCAACACGACCCGGGCGGGGGGCGCCAGGCGCCCTCCGGTCGGCTGGCGCCGCGGGGCCGACACGGGCGCGGGCCCCCACGGAGATTGAGCGCGTCCGAAAGCGCGGTGCAGTCAGAAAGGCCGTGCGACTTGTTGGATGACTTTGGCGGCCGCTTCTCGGGCGGGGGGGCGTCGGGGGGCAGTCGGGCGCGGCCCGGGCGGCCAACGTCGCGGGGCCCACGACAGCGCGGGTTTTCTTGGGGAGCGG